GGATTTATTTGTAAATATTTTTGAGGGATTGTTGGTAATTAATAAATGAAGTAAAGGGTAAAATGGTCATTTGACAAGGAAGATTTTTATTTTCCTTTATAAAATAAGGAAACCACGTGGGAAGAGAGAAAAGGTTCCAGAGTTCTCTTCTCTTCTCTTCTTCCTTCTTCATACGTGAATGCTTGAACAAAAGGTGAGTCTTCTATTTAGATAATTTTTGGTTAAATTTAAGGTTGGGTTATGATCATTAGATGATAACTAAGCTTAAGGAAAGCTTAAGTTATCTTAAAATCAAAAGATAAAGGAGTTAGGGAAGATTAAAGATTTGGAGTTCTTGAGTGAAATATTGAAATAGAGTTTATAATAAGAATTGAAAGTTGAATTTGACTTGCCATCAATAAGAATAAGAGATTTATGAAGTTAGAAAGGATTAATAACAAAGTTGAAAGTTTAGTAAGATTCATAAATTTTAAGAATCATGATGAGATATAAAAGATAAAGATGGTTTATATGGATATAAGTTGGTTTAAGTAATGGTAGTTGAGTTTAATGACATGATAGGGGCTTAAAATAGATGAATTGAGTGAAAAGTTGATGGTTTTCGGGCTTAAAATGCAAATTCTGGGCAAGGTGTATCGATGCACATTCAATGTGTATCGATGCACTCTGTAAAGAAGAAACATCGAATGTAATTAGTGCATCGATGCATAAGGAGTGCATCGATGTACCCCCTTAAAATAAAAACATCGAAGGTGATTGGTGTATCGATGCACATGTTAAAGAATGCATCGATGCACATGTTAAATAATGCATCGATGCACATGTTAAAGAATGCATCGATGCACATGTTAAAGAATGCATCGATGCACTGTAGAATGTATCGATGCACTTCAAAGGGGAAATAGAAATAAACCTTTCTTTTGGTCTAAGAAATGGTAAATTAGAGTATATCAATTGGATATTGATATGTATCAATGTGTGATTATGTAGATATCGAAAATGAACAAGTTCCGGAATGATTATCAAGTTAAGATTCGATCGAAAGAGAGGAAATCATTAGTGGATTGGAACTTAGTGAGGCTAATGTGAGTGCATCTTATTGCATATGATTATATGGAAATTGACTTGCGATAAGTCTATTCCGATAGTATAGTACATGAAGTATGTGATTAATATGAAATGTATGCATGCTTGTATGAGTGTATATGTGCTATGTGATCTATGTGAATATATGGTTATGGAATAAAGTATGTAATAATACAATGTTATTTGAGTTGCTTAACAATAAGTCATAAGATTACATGCATATGTAACATAAGTTATAAGATAAGAAAATATGTGCTTACATGTATTTGCGAATATATATATATATATATGAATAATATTTGATATATGTTTATGTAAAACCATGCAAAGTGATATGAGAAGTGAACTACATGAGTAAGTGATCATATGAGAATGAGATAAAGAGCCATGTGATATATGACATGAGATATATGAAAGAGAAAGTATATGTGATAAGTGAAAGTGAATTATATGATTATATGAAGATGGGAAACGATATAAAGATAATGCCCATGATATATGATACGAGAACGATAGGTATAGTTGGCATGCCAAGAGTCGAGGGTTTACCTATGTTCTACGGAACATATGGACAGAATTACCTATGTCTTTCGAGACATATGGACAATATACCTATGTTCTAAGGAACATATGGACAATTTACCTAGGTTCTTCGGGACCTATGGACAGTTGCCGAGGTTCTTTATGACCTCTGGATAGGTCATTCGGGACAAATTTTATAGCCCCTAGTGGGACCCCATACGAGCTGTGGTGACAACATAGTGCACAACCTCAATAGACTCACATATATATAGTTCTCAAAAGTGTACATGGGCTAAACAAAGATATAACAATGAAGATAATACTTGTGAAGTATATGCTTTGTGATATGAACTGTATTATATGATTGATATGATGATGTGTGTATGGTTTGAATGAGTCATATGTTGATAACAAAAGTATGATTAAAGGATATAAATGATAATAATATGGATAATAGAATAAGATTAATGATGGAAATAATGTGTGATGTGTATATGTGTACATTATATTATATATATCATGAAGTGATATGTTCATATATGTTTAAGCATTTAGAGTTTCCTTTATAAGTTTAATGCCTCACTAAGTCATAGACTTAGTGTGTGATTGTTTCACACGTAGGTTACAGAAGTGAGAAGAGAAGCGAAGAAGAGCAAGACATGTCAGCATCTTCCTTACAAAATTTCAGATTAGAAAATAGATGATTTAAATGTATTTGGTTATTTTGAATATAGTTGGCATGTACTAATTGATTGAGTTGAATATGCTCTGATCGATTTTGATTATTTTGGTCAACTTATGTAAATAAACCGCTTTTATTTTAATGAAAGTTTTAAATTTTCTTTGAATTTTGTTAAGAGTCAAAGTTTGAAAAGTCAATGTGACAACTCTTACTCATATTCGGGTCGGGTACGAGTTGGGGGTGTTACATTTTCATTTTAGTCCCTATATTCACCTTCTGTTAATTTTTCCTGACGTGGCACTTAACCCGTTAACTCCCCCTTCTTCTTCTTCTTCTTCAATTAATGATTGTTTATATGCAGTGCATACATCAAATACAAATGAAGAACATAGCTGCAAAATTATAAGCTTGTGTGAACTTATAAGATTGGTAGGTTACCTTCTGGAAGTGCCCTACGTTGTTGTTGGTGCTATTTACCAGGTGAACAACTTTACCAAAGAAGGTATGAGCGTTGGTAGTGATAACAACAGCCTCAAGCTCACCTTGCTTGACAATAGAACCCGAGTATACCCCAATACCTTGGTTTTGGGAGCAAGAACAACCATAACTGCGACAACAACATTAGCCGCATTGTTCTCTTCAATGAAACTGACGGTGGAGTTGATGATAAGCAATGCGGTGATACCAACGAAATCTTGGCAATCTGGGGGCTTTCCTTGCATTTTTTTTGTTTATTGAGTTAAAAGATTTGTTTCTCAAACTGCAATGCAAGTGCTTGAAAAGAGAGGATGAATACTCCTCCATTGGCCAAAACAATGGCCATGATTGTTGCTATCTCCATAACCCATGACAGATGATTCCACATGAATCCCAATAACTTCAAAATCTTGTTTTCCTATTTGAAATTTATTCAACACTAATCAGCTCCTCCCCATATTATACATATACGACAATGAAATAAGAATAGCAAAACTTACACTCTTCTCTTGGAGCTTATTTGGGCCAAATATTTGCAGTCTTCTTCTTCTTCAAATAATGATTGTTTTTTATTTGTCTTTTTTACTGATGCACCAAACAATGGCGAGAGAGCTGACAATAAAGACTAGTTCCCAAATACACGTATAGCTACAACGGATGACAAATGTGAAAGAAGCACCCAATACACTTGAAAAACAAAGACAACAAAAAAAAATGAGACTTTTAATGTAAATATCGAAAGCTATGATGCAGAAAACGTGAAAGTGAAAGAAACCCAGGAAAAGAGGGAGTTGAGTTTAACCTTTTCTTGTTGTTTCTTCATACGATTCATTTTGTTTAGTATTTTGTGTGAGAAGGAGGACGAGAAGAAAAAGAAGAAGCTGCCATGTCATAAAGTTAACGGAGTTAAGTGTCACGTTAGCAAAAATTAACAGAGGTAATAATAAGGATCAAAATGAAAATAAATTAAAAGTTTGATGAATGTATTACAAATTTCAAAAGTTAGGTGACATAATGCAAACATTCTAAAAATTCGGAGACTATTTATATACTTTACCCTTATTTATAAAGGTAAAATGCACATATCATCATTCAAATTTACTCTCACTCTTATTTTAAATATTTTTTTTAAAAATTAATCATTTAACTTTTATATCTTCTTTTAATCTTTCCACTGCTAAATCAAATGATACGAGTTTTTTGGATTAAATTATATGTTTAGTATCTAAATTTTTAATTTTTTCAAAATCATATTTAAAGTTTAATTGTTATTTCATTTTAGAACCCGCCGTTAAAATCTTTAGTTTTTGTTTCATTTTAGTACCAATTTAACGTTAAGTTTTGAAAAAAAATAAAAAATTTACATACTAAAACGGACCAAAACTAATAGTTTAGGTACTAAGTGTAAAGTTTTTAAGGGTGAGATACTAAAATGAAATGAAAACTAAACGTTAGACATGATTTTGAAAAAAAAAATTATAGTTTAAATACTAAAACGGATTAAAATTGATAGTTTATGTACTAAATGAGTAGTTTATCCTTTATTTTATTAGTACATTTTATTCTTTTGTGCCACATAAAATTAAAATAAAAGAAAAATTAAATGCCCAAAATTATACTCTAAACCCTATACTTAAACCCCAAAACCCAAATCACAATCTCCCACTTCACCTTCAATACATGGACAATAATGAATTAAATTTGAAATAAACTTAAATAAAAACTGTATAATCATTTTAAAACAGTTCAAAACTTTATAAAGTTTTTTTTAATAATTTGGTTGATCTAAATATATTTTAAAATATTATTGTTTTAACATGAGTCTCACAGTTTGACCGTGAATACGATTTAAAATTGATTGAAATTAATCCCACAAACCAAATAAACTTATGTACACAACTGAAAGACTTTAGTGAGTAGACTAATGAATCTCCTAATTGATGAACTGCTGATATTGCATGCAAAAGGAGGGTTTGGGGTTTTGGGAAGCTAATGAGAGAATAGTGGAGTATAAAACTTGTTACTTGGCGAGAAAGCATAAAGAAAAAAAAGAGGAGAATTTCTTATCTCTTTTATATTAAAAACAAGATGTTATTTTATAGCGACTTTCGTCCTTTTTGTTGTTATTTTTTCCCGTCTTTCCGTATAAGAGTCTTTCGGTGGTACTACTCTTTCTATAACGTATTTTAGTTATAAGGGTATCAAGTAGTGTTTCACGCTTTTCGGGTCACTAATGGCGGGGATGCGATTTTTAGAACACAAAGGCTCTGCTTCGTGGAAAACAAAACGTAAGAGAATTTTTGAAAGAAAGAAACTTGATATTAACGAGAAAGTAGAGGTAATGCGGCTGTTCCCGTTATCTCTTTTTTTTTAGTTGCCCCCTTCAATTATGCGTTTCTTGGGTCGGTTTCTTTTCTTCTTTTTAGGGGTTCCTGATTCTGGGTTGTAATTTTCTTGGGTCTTAACGGAGTTCAATTAATGTGGGTGCTTTTTTGTTTTTGAAATTTTTTATTTTTCCGAAATGGGTTATATTGGGTTTTGTTTAATGATGGAAGCTTTGAGTGCCTTTAATCAGTGTTATTATAGCCGCATTCTGCTGTTTAATTGTTTACCTCATTAACAATGCGGATATAAGCACGGTTTGGGGTCTGTTTGGTTGCCATGCAATGTTCATTAGTAGTCGTTTCAGAATTCTCCTATCATTGTTTTGATTGTTTAAAGTTCAAAAATGGATATTGATGGATTTGTTCTTTGCATAACGAAGTTGAAATTTTGTAGGTGAGGAGTGTTGAAGAAGGGTTTCAGGGTTCGTGGCATCAGGGAACTGTTACTTCATGGAATAAGCGAGAGTGTCACGTAAAGTATGACCATCTTCTTCTTGATGATGGTTCTGATAAGCTCGTCGACATTGTGAGTGTTTCTGCTGAAATAAATGTTTTTTCTTGTTCATGTGACACTCACTATAACTATAGGGGGAATATAAGGCAATTGCCACCTGAACTAGAGTTATGCAAATGGAACCTTTGCTATGGGCTCTGTGTTGATGTATGGTATAATGATGCTTGGTGGGAAGGTGTGATTTTGGACCATGTAGATGGTTCAGAGAAGAGGAGAGTTTTCTTCCCTGATTTGGGTGATGAAATGACTGCTGAAATTGGCAACTTACGAATTACTCAAGATTGGAACGACTTTGAAGAGGAGTGGAAAAAACGTGGAACCTGGTTGTTTCTTGAGTTGATTGAGCAATACGGGAAAGAATGGTTTCTTTCTGTTTCTGCGCAACAATTTTGGTACGATTTACGGGAGAGAAAGGATTTTCAAAATGTTGGAGAGTGGACATTTTCTTGCGAGTTTCTGTGGAAAGAATTGGTGCTAGAAGTAATAAAAGATAACCATAAAATCACTGTGGATCACTTTGTCAAGGTATTAGGCCTTCCTGGTTCCTCCCAACCAGAATCCAAATCAGAAGAGGAGCCTGCTATACTGGATGCAGATGTTAATATGAGTACTGATGCAAATTTAGGTGACACAATTTCTCTTGCACTAGTTAAGAATCACGTTAACAGTTCTTTGTTGAGTCCAGACACAGTTAGAATTCCGTCAATTCAAGGGAAATCAAGTTCTGGTCAGCTGATGCATGTTTTCAAGGATGATAACAATGTTTTGCCTGAACCTAATGAACCCTTTGTTGATAAAGCTGTCTGTAGTTCATCCGAGGCTTTGTTGATCTCACCCTCTGTTGTAGGTGGAATTTCAGGCATCTGTTCTGTAGCTAGCAATGAAGGAATTTCTGGAACTGATATAGATACAGCTGAAAGGAGGGCTAAACATTCAGGGTTCGATGTAACTGCAACATGGATGCCTCCTGACCCTGAGCTTGTTTCTAAAGCTGAGTCATGCCCTGATGCCATTACCAAATACGTTCTTGCTAGTAAGCAACGTGATAATGCTCTGATAACTGATGTTAGGAAGCATCTTCTGTATCAGGGATGGAAAATGGAGACCAAGCAAGACGGAAAAAACTTCAGGTGGCGATACTTCTCACCAGCTGGGTGTTGTTATTACTCTCTTCATCAGATCTGTTTAGATCTGACAGATCGCTCCAGAAAGCAAAATTGTTCAAACCCCAAAGATGTACACGTTGAACCAAACATCAACCATCTTGGTATTGTTGAACCAAACATCAAGGGACTACATTTTATTGAACCAGAATATTGCCCTCAAGCTGTTTTGGACTGGTCTAAGGTTGAATTGGATGAGATTCGCAAATGCAAGGGAACTGATATGACGCTAAAGGCAAAAAGGCATCTCTTATGGCTGGGTTGGGTGTTTCACTATGCAACCAAATATGGAAAGCGTTATTTGTGCTACACTTCTCCAAGAGGAAAGATGTTCCAGTCACTTCGGGAAGCGTGCAAAAACTGTATAAAAGAAGGTGGACTTTCTCAAATCGATGCCTCTAACTCTAGTCCAGCGGAAAAAAATTACGCTGTTAAGGAGATTGATTGTCAGTTAGTGAGTGAAAAGCTTTCTTCTGCACTTGCTATTGTGGATATCCAGAGAAGTTGGATGCCGTCAAATAGTGAATCTGAACACTGGTCCAAGAAATGTTATTCGAGATCTGAGAGAAGAAATGTCGTTGAGCAAAGTAGGGTCATTCAAAAGCCTAAAAGGAAGAGAAGAGATAGTTTGTCATATGCTGCATTTAACTTAAAAAAAAGGCGAACTGACTTACCTGTTAAATACACTAGCATTTCAAGATTGAAAGGTGGAAAGTTACCTATGTCACTGAACAAACTAAGAGAGTATCTTAGAGGTAGTCAACATAACTGTGTGCTACAATCAACCAAAAGAGTGCAGCAGATTGTGACTCCTAGTTCATTGCATCAAAATCCACGAACTGTGCTGTCTTGGTTAATAGATAAAAATATTGTTTTGCCAAGGTCAAAAGTACATTACTGGAGGAAGAAGCAGAGGTTGAAAGCTGAAGGGAGGATAACTCGTAATGGAATTATGTGCAAATGTTGTGGCAAGGTGTACACTCTTGGTGGTTTTGTATTACATGGTGGTGGTGACAACCAGAGACCAGCTGCCAAGATCTTCTTGGAAGATGGCAGGTCTCTATTGGACTGCCAGATGCAAGTAATTCAAAATAGTAGAGTGAAGTTTGGAAAAAAGAAGAATTCCCAGTTGAAACGCAATTTCCGAATGGATCAGAACGATGAAATTTGTTCTGTTTGTCAGTATGGGGGTGAACTAATTTTATGTGATCAATGTCCATCCTCATTCCATAAAAACTGCCTTGGTTTAAAGGTATCACTTTTGTTTTTATTATCAGTTCACCCCCATCTTAATATGCTTATATTCCATTTTCTTAAATCCTACATATTACTGTGGGATAGACTGTTCCAGACGGTGATTGGTTCTGTCCATCATGTTGCTGTGGGATTTGTGGTCAAAGCAAACTTAAAGATGGTGCAAATATAGTGGATGGCAGTCTTTTCACTTGTGCTCAGTGTGCACATAAATGTATGTTAATTTTCTGTATTTGTTGATAGCTCAAAAACACATTGGTTTATTTATAATTTTTTGTGTATTTGATGCAGATCACGTTGGCTGCATATGCAGTGCAGGGGCAGATAGGTTGGAAATGTGTGCAAAAGATAATTGGTTTTGCAGCAAAAAGTGTGAAGAGGTACTTCCAATCAGCTTTATTTTTGTAATTTGTGTTGTGCATTTACAAGTGATAGCTACTGATATTTCTTTCTTTCCTGGGGCACATGTCATATCGCATCTTCGATTTTCAACCTTTTGAGTGCTTACAATTGCTGTTTTGCTGCAGATATCTTTGGGCCTTAATGAGCTTTTAGGGAGACCAATTCCTGTTGGAACGGACAATCTAACATGGACATTAATTAAATCCTTGCAGCCGGAGAGTTATGATCTTGATGCTTCAGATGACGAAACCATGGTTGAGAATTATAGCAAACTTAGCATTGCACTTGAAGTGTTGCATGAGTGTTTTGAGCCTGTCAAAGAATCAAGTACCGGTAGAGATCTTGTTGCAGATATTATATTCAGTAGAAGGTGGGTAATTCTTATTTTTCTCATGTCGTTTTGATAACTTTAGTACGGGCTGGATACTCTTTCTGCAAATTGTTGCTTGAAATTTTGCATTCATTTGCAAATCACATTTTTATGTGGCATAACTTGAGTGTTTTAGATTTATGGCTGGAGTGACTCATGATAATTGTAGATTTAAAATTGAGTGTTTTATTTTTATGTCTATGCCTGCGCCGAGGGGAGGAGAATGATCTACTTTGAGTGATTTGTTTATGTTAATCTGGCAAAACATTATCTTGGACTGAATGTTTGATGGTTTGAATTGGCTAATTTTAAAGATTACTATTAAAGTACCTGCATTTACTCTTCCTTGTAGATAATCTTGGTAGCATATTGGTTTCTTTGCCAGAAGGCCATACTAACCTACTTCCGACACTTCAAATTCATAATGTTTTTGTTGCTGCTATACTATTATCACTTATGATTTATTCGAATTTTGTTTGTTTAATCAAAGTAAGTGGCTTAAAAGTTTGATTGATTTGGTTTTTGAATTTTACAGCTCAGAACTTAACCGCCTGAACTTCCAGGGCTTCTACACGATACTTCTGGAAAGACATGATGAACTCATTACTGTTGCCAATATTAGGTAAGCTTCTCTAACTAACAGTAGTGTGCTATATAGGACTGAAGACCTTGGTTAGGATGTTTTGTACGTTTACCTTGTTAATAATGGTAGTTTTTATTTCTATTTTCCCATTCAAGGGTTCATGGAGAAAAGGTGGCCGAAATGCCTTTGATTGGTACCAGGTTTCAACATCGACGGCTTGGAATGTGCAGCATTTTGATGAACAAACTTGAGAAGGTCAGCTATGTAATGTTTGTATGGTTTCTTTTATTAGTAGTGCTTTATATCCACTATTTGTTCAAATTATACTGCATCAAATTTCTGGGATTAGATATCATTGAACTCTTGCCATGCTAAATGCACGCATCTGATAAATTTCTAATCGTTGCTTCTTGCATGAGTTCTTCAGATGCTCATGGAATTAGGAGTGGAGAGGCTGATATTACCTGCTGTCCCTGATGTGCTGCGCACATGGACTGACTCATTTGGATTTTCGGAGATGACGCCATCTGAGAGATTAGAGTTTGTAGATTATACATTTTTAGATTTCCAGGGTGCTACCATGTGCCAGAAGCTTTTGCTTAAGAAGCCTTTACTGGAATCAAGCTTATCAATTGGTATTCCCAATTCCCTAGCCACCTAGTTCAAGTATTAATTACTGCAGTGAGTCACATTTTAGTTTTCACTCTTTTCAGGATCCCAGTTTGAACTTCGTATTGATGCATTTGAAAGATGTGATAATGTCAACGATGATGAATCAGATTCAGCCTGTGAAGTATCCCAAGCAAGACAAATCAACAAAAACGAAATTATGGGTCAAGGACTACTGGAGTATGTCTCACCTCTTCAGTACTTTATTTAGAAGAGAAAAATCGAAATTGGTAAAATTCACTGTAACCTCATTTTTCCTTAGGATGGGCCAAACAAGAGATAACTACTGGCTTAGTATCCTAACCAGATTATTTGTAAATATCATCTATTTAAAAATCTTAAATCATTAAATTCATGTCATTATGGTCTGTGAAAGATAACTGTCCTTTGGTGTTGAGTGGCTTGGTAAAGAGGGAGATTACACAATCTTTGCATCTATAGAGAGGAAGAGATCATAAATAACAGTTCTTATCAAGGAAATATCCCTTTCTGGTATTATGATGCTCTTAGACATAATATGGAAATAGGCCTTTGACTTCATCAGTTCCAACTTATCTAAATGCTCTAATAAAGCAAAGAACGACTGCATGAAGCACTAACTACCTGGCACAGAATAGCTTGATCATATGCTCTGACAAAAACCTGTAGTACAACCTGCATTTGCTTGCTTTAGATTGATAGGTTTTCGGTAGTACAACCTGCATCATGTTCATTGCTGCTGTACCTTGGATCCTAATTCTTTCAAATATATCAGTTACCATCCTTTTATAAATGATCAACATCAAAAATCAGCTCTCTATCATAAGACACATATATGGTTTACACATGTATTGTGTATAAGCTACAAATTGATGATCTCACTTTCTTTGGAAAAATGCTCTTTACTAATATTGCTTTTAGCATTTGGAAAAAACAATGTGTTTTGTGCGTATAGTTTGCCATCATTCTCTGTATATCCTCTTCAACATTGGCTTGTTGGGTTCAATTGCAAAATTGATGACTATTACTCATCTGGAAACCCATAACTGAGGCTTGTACCGAAAATTATATGGATCATCTATCGACTGTTTATTTCCGAGCCTGCGGTTTTTCATGCATCTTTAAATTTGGATAGATATTAGTCTATTGAAATCCTCTTATCTTCTAGAATCATTTGGGTTGAAGCATCACTTAGGGCCATTCATATTATAAGCAACTTACTTTCTTATTCTTCGACTTTGTTTGTTGTATTCTCTGTTCAAACATACTGCTTTCAACGTTGCCAAATGTACTAATTAAAATTGTTGTCAGGTTTGACACGGTAGGAGGGATTGGTAGCAGTGAAAGCGATGTTCAGATTCTCGTTGCGGTGCTTTTAACAACTCCAAAGCATTTTATCATTCCTTCATCAACCCATTCTTCCACTTTATTTTTCTGTTCTGATCCACATTTCTCTACCAAATTCTTGACCCATTTTTCAATTACAGGTGAACCAGCCTACACAAAGTGAGGCTCCTATGAACCCAGCGTGCTTAGCCGAGGATACGGGTTTGAAGAAAAGAAGGGGCGGTCATAGCAATTTTAACAGGCTGTGTAAGCGTAGGATGATATGTGTAGGTAGGAGATGAGTTTTGGTTTCGTGGGCATCCAAATTTTGCTGTCATGGATGTCTAAATATTCTGTACAGCTGGACAGAACAGAACATCTCAAACTCAGGTCTAGAAATGTCTTTATGTATAATAATCCAGGGAATAATGTTGTGTGTGCTCATTTTGAGTATCCCCTGTCCATATTAATCATGGATGTATAATGCCCTCGGTATGAATCAACGCAACAAGTAAGTTGATAGATTTTGGGCCGGTGTTTATTTAATAAAATAATATAAAAGTTCTTTAGATTTATCTACGAGTGTGTTTCTTTAATAGACCAGCGACCGAAGTGGCACGAAACGGGCGCTAAGTGGTTTCGATTGCGGCGGAGATTCTAAGCTCCGGCGGACACCTCATAAGGAAAAGGAAGTTCGTGATAAAGCATAATATACGTGGCGGACAACGATTGGTTACAACCTAGAGGAATGGGATTGTTGCAGCTGTTTGGTCTTCTACAAAAAAAATGTGAATTTTGTTTGACCAATAGGAAATGAGAGGGTGATAAATGTTTCAGTGTAACGCACAGTGTTCTTATCATTGCCTCGATGGAATCTTTCCTCCCTCGCAGTGTTCACACTGTATTACAAGTATTTTCCACGGTATTATTTTTTTAAAATTAAATCGAAGCGACAAAAACACCCCCTGCTCGCCGTTTCTATCCCATGCGGCCGCTGCGGTGTAACCGTCCATTACTTGAAATAATTCCATTTCATTGAAAAAATGAGTGATAGTAATACATATTATGCGACGAATGGTGAGACATCAAACTAAATAACTTTGTTTTATCATTCTAACTACAAATAATTGGCAAAAATCGTCCACGTAAACTATTTCGGGCAAAACTTTTGAGATAATGTTCTGGAAAAAATTAATTCACGAGATAAAGCACTCCCAAGATTAATTGCTCAAATAAGGTGAAACCCACAGTGTTGGCCGTAGGTCGCCATGCTTTCCGGGTGACCTACTAGGTCGCCATGTCTTCCCGGCGAGCTACAAGAGATTGCATGTGCCATGCACGTCCCAACACGCTGGGCATCCGAGGCCATCCGACCGAGGCCATCCGAGGCCATCCGAGAGCATCCGAGGGCAACCGAGCGAGCTATGCGAGGGAATCCGAGGGAAGCCGAGCGAGGGTAGGTCGCCCGAAGTGCATGGCGACCTACAAGGTCGCTCGGAGGGCATGGCGACCTATGTGTTGGGACGTGCATATGCCATGCAACACGTTCATTCTCACGTTCATTTTCTGTGTTTGAGCAAGGGTAGGTCGCCCGGAGTGCATGGCGACCTACGGCCAACACTGTGGATTTCACCCTATTTGAACAATTAATCTTGAGAGTGCATTAGCTCGTGAATTAATTTCTTTCAGAACATTATCTCGAAAGTTTTATCTCTATTTCGAGGCTTAAATCGCACTACTAAACATGTCCATTAAAAAACAACATATATCGGGGAAGATGCATTAGTTATTTTTTTTATAACTAAAATAACATTATAGATGTACCAGTTTTAATTCAAATGAAATTTTGATACAAAGGCTCTTAAGGAGAGCATTCTTTCATCGTTAGAGGAATAAATCTGTCATTTTATTGATATTCCGCAGGTCTTTTTCCTCCCATAACGTCAGACAAATTTTTGACTACAATGATTTTATTCAAAAAGGAAGAACAAGCACAACTGATCTCTTTAAGCAACGGCACATCATGAATTTCCAACCCAAATCAAGGACGTTATTCCTAAAGCAAACCTCAACCATACGATCATAACTGAATCCAGCGGCTGCTATTGATCTACTAGAACCTTCCCTCCCCATTATAACGTCCCCTTCCCGTCAAAGTGTTCTTGTGCCCAGCTCGTGTCAATTACGGTTTTTTAGGGCTTTTCATTTTTCACTCATTTCGTTACTCTAGCTGTTACTTCACGAAAAGGTTGTTGTCGATTTGGGTTCTGATCTAAATTTTGAGATTTTTTTTGAGTTTGATATGTTTTTTTCCACATTTTGTTAATATGAATCTGTTTCCGTTGAAAAACAGAGAAAATGACCAAGTGTTACCCAACTGTGAGTGAGGAATACTGGAAGGCGGTTGAAAAGGTTAAGAGGAAGCTCAGAGGTCTCATCGCTGAGAAGAACTGTGCCCCACTCATGCTCCGTCTAGCGTAAGCTTCTCTGATCTTTTATTTGTCGTCTGATCTAAAGTTTTGTTTCTGAGATTGATGATGTTGATGGTTCGGATGGTGATCGTTGATGACAGATGGCACTCAGCCGGAACTTTTGACGTCAAGACCAGGACGGGAGGTCCGTTCGGAACCATTAAGAATGAGGCCGAGCTCAAACATGGTGCTAACAACGGCCTTGATATCGCCGTCAGGCTTCTCGAGCCGATCAAGGAGCAGTTACCTATCCTTTCCTACGCTGACTTCTATCAGGTTCTAATTTTAATCGATCTATTTTCCTCCTGATTTATTTTATTTATGTATGATTGGACTGATTTTTTTATTTCTTTTTCCCCTTTTTTGCTTGGATAATTTGTAGCTTGCTGGTGTTGTCGCCGTTGAGATTACTGGTGGACCTGAAATTCCGTTCCACCCCGGAAGAGAGGTCGGTCAACTGCTATCATTTCCTTGTTTCTTCAACTGTTAATTTTAAGAAATGCTAAAGCCATTTTACATGTTCGCTACTTGCCATGGGATCTTGCTTGATTCTTGAATGGAAACTTGAAGTTTATATCAATTGATTTCATTGAAACCAAATGTATGTTTCTCATTTACATAGAGTAATTGTTAATTGCTTTTGTAATTATTGTCCCTTACCTGTTTGTAAAACTGTTAGATGTATGGAAGCTGTAGTTGGTTTCCATCGTTTAGAACTAAAACTTAAGACAACTTTTAATCTTTGTAGTTGTTAATACTGATACTCTTTGTGACAAATTCCAGGACAAGCCTCACCCACCACCTGAGGGCCGTCTTCCTGATGCAACAAAGGGTTGGTGTCTACTACTTATTCAGAATGCCTTTGTTTCTATTGAGAATAAGATTGATTGCTTTGATTTTATTGATGATTTTAATTTAATCCTTGTGATGAATATCTTGCAGGAGCTGATCACTTGAGGCAGGTCTTTGGTGCTCAAATGGGTCTCAGTGACCAGGATATTGTTGCTCTTTCTGGTGGCCACACCCTGGTAAATAAACTTCAAATTCCCATGTTTTTTTTAGCTTGATGCGTTATTTGGGTGTATCCGTTTAACGATTTGCATAATTCTTGTTTGTCTTTCATATAGGGGAGGTGCCACAAGGAGAGGTCTGGATTTGAGGGACCATGGACTACCAACCCTCTCATCTTTGACAACTCTTACTTCAAGTGAGTTTCTCTTTTTAGTAGTCATGCATTTTACTCTTTAATTCCTGGGAGTGCAAATCTGTTAATCTGATGCTAATTTGGTTATAGGGAACTCTTGTCTGGGGAGAAGGAAGGCCTTCTTCAGCTACCAACTGACAAAGTTCTCCTGTCTGACCCTGCTTTCCGTCCATTGGTTGATAAATATGCAGCTGTACGTTGCTCTTCCCTTCATTTCATTGACTCAATTTCATACAATCTGCGGTTCAGAAGTTAAATTTGGTTTTGTTTATTGACTTTTTTTTTCTATTTACAGGATGAGGATGCCTTCTTCTCCGACTATGCTGAAGCTCACCTGAAGCTCTCTGAGCTAGGGTAACTTTTGCTTTAATTTGTTACGTAAATCATGTTATGCATCTCCGCTCCTTTTTTTTTTTACAGTACTGACGGTTTCTATTTCATCTTGCAGATTTGCTGATGCATAAGGTGGTGGCTGTGGAACAGGATGAAGCCAACAACATTTGCCTCCACAGATAGTTTTTTGGGTTTTGTAATCTCAAAGAAGTTGTTGCTTGAAGAATTTTTGGGTATTTGCAGTTTTATTTTGTAGAACGGAGTTTGTGGAGATTTCCGATGGAACTCGAGAATTTCCTTGATAAATAATAAACAAATTCTTCCAAATATGCGGGAATCATTTTGTCATTTTTCTTGTTGGATAATGCTAATGTATGATCCGCATCACTGATTCGTTTCCTTCTTGATTATTCTGTTTTGTCTATTATGTTTGATGCTCCGGCTGTGGAGTACAATACGCCAAGAACGGGTTTATTTAGGTATCGAGTGTGGTTGATCTTTTGTCATTTCTCCATTTAGAGTTTCCAGTGATTTGGGTTGGCCTTGTTTTGCCAAATGTTGGTCCCGGGTTGCACCGTCAGTTATGTGTTTGAACCTTTTGGAAAAACACAGCCAGAATTAGACACTCAATTGGGGCTTCTTCCCTCACTGGGGAAGCCACTAGTAAAACTGGTACTGTGTTGGATTGACCTGTTACAAACCAAGTCCACTGTCAATCATCATACAATCCTCTACAACTCTCAAATGATCAAATCTGCCGTTATCTTAGAAAAATATGAGAAAATAAATAGAGATTATCAAATGGGTGGTGATATTCAATTTAATGAATGGATTACGCACCAATGTTGATATATAATTGGAGAGATCCCTATTTCCGATAATCTTTGATTCATTTCATTTGATATGAATACATAATTACTAATTATAATGAAAACATGGTTTCTTAGATATACATAAAAAGTGAAAGAATGTTTTATTGGATAAGTAGTAAATACTTCTTTTTATTCTTATAATCATAATACGATAATTGTTAATGCTGATTAATGAAGATCCGGACGGATATTATATATATTATTTTGTAATTAAATATGTAACGAACACAATTAATAATTATGGGTGAAACATCGTGGGGTTAAGAGATATAGTTTATGAAATAAATAAAGAATTTTTTTAAATATTAATTAATATTGAAATATATATATTTTTATAAAATAAATGAAGAAAAATTTATTAGATATTTCTCAGTTAAAATAATGTATTTGTAAAAAAATAAAAAATATTTTAACTCGTTATAATAAATTCTTAGTTCTGACTATATTAGTAATAATAGTTTAGATATGAAATCATATATGTGAATCGTGAAATGTCTGTGTATATATACATATATTTATATTTGAAGGTGAAGTGTATTGATAATTACACACACAAACACTAATCGTTTATCTTT